TAGAAAAGTTGCGCAGGCTGCGTGAATGGCCTGCTAGTGATCGCCACCACGCGATACGTACAAACAGACACTTGACTAACTCTTGACTACAGTGCTAGCCCCTTCGCTCACACCTGTAACGGAACGAATGGCTCCACTAACAGAGCTAGCACTGACCAACTCTACTTGAACGCTGAGAGGGTCTTGTTACCCCAGGCCGTAGCAGGGGGGGTTGCCGGGGTCGGCGTCGTAGCTCGCCCCGGCTCGCCGTTGCTCGCACCCGAAGCAAAAAAATAATCAAGCGTTTGAACCGTTGCCAGATCGACTATATGTTCACCTCCATTTTTAGTGTAATAATTGCAAAAGCTCCATCTGTGCCGGGGATTGAACAGCTGAACACCCTCCGACCGCCTCCCCCGCCTCTGTGGTGTGCGTGATGCGTGGCGCTTGCCTCGTCTGTCTTGCGTGCGCTTTCGCCGCCCGAAGCAGCGTAGTCGTGTAACCAGCGGGCTCGGACGGCGAGGTCCGGACTCGCCCCTTGTCGGGCCAGAAAACGCTGAGGCTGGGGGTCTGAATCTTTAAAAATTTTCGGGTGAGGGCCACCAGCCTCCCTATCGCGTGCTCGCACACCTTCTGGCGATTACGGTTTAGACCCACCCCTGGTACAAATCCCTGTACACGCCCCTGCCGAGCCAAATTGCCAAAGCCTCTCCTCGCTCCTCGCTGTGTGCGTTTGCGTGTGCCCAATGCTTGCGTGCATCCGCTGCGTGCGTGCGTACGTGTACGTGCGTATGTACAATAAAATGTGGGTCTCCGTCGTTGGCGCGTAACAATTCTAACAACGTAATGGTGTTTCGATGATAGAGATACGAAAATATATACATTGTAGATCAATGTTGAGCATCAGAAACGATTAAACCTTCACATACGATATTGTAAACACCAACAAAGACACGCACGCCCACGCAACAATATCTTCACTTTAACAAACTCGCCGAAGATATTGTTTTTTTTATTAATCGGATTCTGTTCCGTTATTTTGAGCTAATATTCGTCAATTATTAAACTACAACATTGCGGGAAAATGCGGCTCCGTATTAAAAAGATCCGCCGACCAAGTTTATAAAACGTCTCGGCTGCCAATCGCCGGACCATGTCACGATGTAAAGGGAAACATGGCGTGTCTGTGTTCTACATAATACGCTCACCACTCGATCGAATAAGAACCGTCTGTTACATGTGCTTCAACACCTCCATTAGCTCGTGGCTCCCAAGCATCTGTGTGGTTCGCGCAGGATACAAAGTGTTAACTGTACGAGCTTACGCTGACATGCCGCTACTGCTTACGGCTTCTCTAACTCTTTAACTCGCGACGTTTATTAAGTCTGAACTTCGGGGGAAGCATGGAGGCTTGCGGGGGCGGCAGCGGAAACGGACGCAGATGGATGGAGATTGGTACAACATGCGGTCGAAGTCAGTGTGACGCGATCGATATGTTTTCGTGGCATAGTTTTTAAAGTCTGTTTCCTGGAAGGCTGTGTGGGAATGCAGACCGATCTCTTATATTAGCGCTAATTATCCTCACATTCAATGTGATTCATATGCAGTAATAGCTCCCCGCTGAGTTCATAGTTTAACACAGATGAAATATGTTAATTCGTGATTTCTTTAATTAATTTATAAACATCTTTACCAAACTTGCGTCATTGGTTTAAAACGCCAGGAAAACACCATGCTGGTTTTTCCTTTTGACCGTCTCTTACAAATGGTTAAATTATTGACTTGGGGAGAAAGTTTACTCGCTTTTCATCGGGTGAAATTCTATGTCGTACAGTATACGAACTGCCTGGCTCGGCCAACTATTGCAAGTATTATATATATATACTAGAGCACTCGGAGAGCGCAGACCTCCGCCAAGGCAGCTCAATTCTCTCACTGTGAAATTTTGTATTAATTAATTAATTAATTAAGTGGAAAAATTAATTAATTAATTAATTAAATAATTAATTGGATCCGGATTAGTGCGAGCGTGCAGGTGGGGAGGACTGTGGTTGCCCCTTGGCCTGTGGTTGCGTGTTTGTAAGTCTACAGCCAGCGCACCTAGCGGAAGTGAACCGAAACGTGCATGGTAACACACAAACCCACAAACCAACACTCAAAGACACGCCGGTGAAAACATAACCTCCACCAAGCCCCTGGCGGAGGTAATTATAATGAGTGCGTGTTGTCTTCCAGTGTGTATTGTCATCGTCTGCCTGTTACATCTTAAGCTGGGTTTACACTATCAACCTTTTGCTGAAAACTTGACGAGTTGATCAATTTTTCAACTAATCGACCGAAAGTCGGCAGTGTAAACGTAAAAGTTGAGCGCTGAATGAGCGAGCGTTGTCTTCCAGTGTTTATCATAATTACATATCATCAGGAGCGTATAATGACAAATATTTATGACAAGTATTTGTCATTATGCGCTCCTGATATCATCATCGTCTGTGTGTGTTATATCTTACGCCCCCTTCCCCCGCGCGCGAAATTTGTTTTCCCACTTGAGTTCCGGACCCACCATAGATAATGTTTTGTAATAAATGGTTCTTATATATAGGGTTGGATTATAGTTAGTGTTAGGGTTCGGGTATGTGTTAGGGTTAGGGTTAGGGTTAGGGTTAGGGTTAGGGATAGGGATAGGAGGTGTTCATTTTACATTGTTGCTTCGAGGAAGTCGAGTGAATGGAGTGCGCTGATTGGCTGAGGTCCGGAACTCAAGTGGGAAAAAAAATTTTGTCCCCCGCGCGCGTTCTACAACTGTAGTTGTTGGTGGTCGCCATAGCTACGTCACTAGACTGACAGCTTGGTGCAAATTTCTCGACAATACCAATCTTATATTTCATACGTCTATAGGGGCATCTACCTTACGTTTATAATGCAAATTAGTGCGTTTTAGTGCCGAATATTACCACAAATTATAAGTTAAGAAAGGAGTATTTTCTAGAGATGAAATCGTGCAGTCGAAGGCTACACGTGGTCTGTGGCTATACTGTTGTCTGCCTCCTCCACACGCGGCCGTAGCAGCAGCGGCTTGCGCAATTCCCCGCGTTCTACAACTGTAGTTTGTGGTCCCGTGACGTATACTGCTGGTTTGCCCTATTTACCGGCGCTCGGTTTCACTTGAAGACGGCACCACTATAGCACCGGCTGCGCTGCTGCTTACGTAAGACGCGGTTTATGGAACTTAACGGCGTACGCGTGCATAAATAGAGACCATGTTGTGTTGGCGGTTTACGGAGTGGGTAGAGAGATGCCGGCCGTGGATCCGATGGATTTACACACCCGGTGACCGGGTCATCAAAAAACCGCGGTCGATGATTTCGGGGTGGTAAGTTTTACGTTCGCAGTTTGCTCGGTTACGAGCATGTTAACGGTTAACGATGGAATTAACCCCCGGTCGATGAGTTTAATACGAGACTATTTTCTAAGGCTGTCCACGCCCCACAAAAGCATGGCCCCATAAAAGGCAATTCCGTAATGGGCAGAATTAACGATTGCAGTCACTGTCATCAGGAATATATATATATACATAT